TTCCTGCTGCTACCTGCTCACACAGAAGCACAGAGGGCGTTCCAAGGTTGCAGACCAGCAGAGGGAGAACGTGGTGGAGAAATCCATCCTCTTTTAGTGATGAGCTCATGAGAAACAAGTCGTTCTAAGAAAGTACTAGAGGTACTTTGTGTCTCTCCAGCCTTGCCCAATGGTAAGGCAAATAGAGCAGCGATTAACTTGCTATTAGCCTGAATTCCTACCAACTCAGCTTCAAGTAAGTAAATAAACAAGCAGTACACTGAGAGTCACCCAGGTGGTTCACAGCCTTCCAGACCCACCACCTCTCAGACCTACCATCCCTGTAGAGTGGCATTTTGCCCCAGTTTTGCTTTCGACCCACCACAATGTCATCAGTACAAAAATAATGGTGGGAGATGTCAAAACACAATCTGCAATCCCCAGTCCCCACTCTGACTGCATGACTGCCTCCTGCCCCCATTGGGGTAGACTTAATCTGCACTCAGTTCTCCATCTGAGTGCCTCCTCCGCTTCCTGCATCCCAGATCCTGCCTCAGTTAGCACCATCCCCACTTTCCAAGTTGCTTGGAGCCACCATTGGCTTCCCTAAGCATCACTCCCATCACCCTTTGGCCTCCAGTCACCTCCTGAAGACTTTCCAAGCCTCTCTTCCTTTCCATCGCCATTCCTGACAGTGCTGCCAAACAACAGCAGCAAACCCCCCTACCCAGGACCTCGCCGCCCAGGCTTTGGGGCATTGTCAGACCCCTTTAGAGATGGCAACTAATGCCCTAACTGGTTAGTCTCTGCTTTCCTAAGAGGTGGCACAAGGGGCCAGCAGGTGGAGTGGTGGTGAAGGCACTGGACTCTCACATGAACAAGTGCAATTCAAGTCTCAGACCTGGTGGCTTAAGAATCATGCCAGGTGTGTACATGTACACTCAAAACCCCCAAAGGAGAATGGTGGAGAAGGGATTGCAGTGTGCCCACCCTCTAGGGGTTTATTTCTTACTTTCCCTATCTCTGTCTCTGTTTTCTCCAGTAAGCACATAATAAGTCTTTTGTTTGTTTGTTTGTTTGTTCTATCATTTATTTATTTATTTTTACATTGTCCCACATTGACGTTACATATCAAAAAATTTTTGCTCATACTCCATAGTCCATAGAACTAGTTTTTTAAAAAGATACAAAGAAAGCTCAACTTCATGTTGTCTTGATGCTTTGTTTTACCTTAGCATATTTTCTTTTTTAAAAAAGAATTGTTTTATTTAAGTTTATTTATTTATTTATTTTAATTTGACCAGAGAGGGACAGAGTGAGAGTGAGAAAGCATGCTGCCAGGTCTGGAACTCAAACCATGGTCAGCCATTCGAGAGTCCAGCCCCCTTAACCACCATGCCACCTGCTGGCCCCTACCTTAGACTATTTTCAAATGTGAGGAGCACAGAGCAGGCCCTGCCCCATGACAGAGACGCAGATGCTCCCAGGGCTGAGCTCTGCACTCAGCCACACAGGTGCACACCACTCCGGGAGCCATGTGGCTTTGGCACACACTGACGCTACACAGGGAGGGAGACAGAAAGTGCTCGGGTTGATGCCACAGCAACATTTATTAAGTGGTGGCTCTGTGTCAAGCCCTGGGCTCAGGCCTTGACACCGTTTGTCCCTTGGCATCTTGTAACCTTCTAACAAGGTTACTGCTGTTATCCCTTTTCATAGATGAGAAGTCTCCTGAGGCGTCAACAGGAGAAGCAACCTGCCGTGGTCACAGAGTTGGTGGCTAGCTGGCCCCATGGCAGGCAGGCCTGACCGCCAATCTCATGGGAAGACAGGACTGTTCACTCTATTAATCTCCTTTCTATTTCTTTTTTCTTTTTTTCCTTTTTTTTGGAGAGGTTTTTGCTATAGGGCGCATGTGCTCACCAGACAGACAGAGACATAGAGACAGAAAGCGAGAAATCATCCCCCGGGGGGGATGGTCATGCTGCAATCCCTTCTCCTCCATTCTCCTCTCGGGATCTTGGGCATGCACGCACACGTGCCCAGCATGAGTTTTAAGCCACCGGGTCCGGGACGCGAACCGCGGTCGACTATGTGGGAGTCCAGCGACATAGTCATTACGCTAACTGCTGGTTCCCCCCTTTATATTTTGAAAACACAGCCCAGGACTTCTGAGCTGACTATCGCTGTGATTATATGGATGCCTTGGCCTGAGGATCATAATGATCTAACCCCAGGCCAAACCGAGAAGTCAGCCCCAGCCTTCCATACATCCTTCGCATCTCTACCAGGTGCCAGGATGGAGGTCACACAGGGAACAACAGAGCTGGAGCTGTGGACTTCCTCAGGGGGTACTTGGGTTTTAACTAAAAAATAGACAATGCCTTTGAGAGCCAAACAGATGAAGATGCATCATGGGGGCTCAGACACTCTTCTTTCTTTTTAAAAAATTCGCTAGAGGACACATGCGTTCATTGGAGACAGAGAGAGAGAGTCAAAAAGCACCCATCATGGGAGATGGCCATGCTGCAACTTTTCTCCTCTATTCCTCCTTTTGGGATTTTGGGCATACACACATGCACCTGGCATGTCAGACACTCATCAATGGGGCGGAAGTCATGGAGTAGGAGGTCTCCAGAGCCCTTCAATCGCCACAGGGATCGACTCATGATGACATGTTCATATGGGGAAATATGATAGCTGCTCAGAGTAATTTCAGCAGTTCCCTTCCTGGTGAGCCCCGGGCCCGAGTTATTTTGTACTGCAGAGCACACGCGGTTGTAGCAAGCTGTATTTATTGCCTCAGTCAGTGTGAAGTCTGACTCAGACGAGTTACAGCCAGCTTAACAAAACTAGGGCCAGAAAAGCAAACACCATCGACACTTAGCCGTGCTGACATGTGGGAGGCCACTGGCGCTCTGTCAACCTGGGGATTCCCAAGTGGGAGAGGCAGCAAGTGTCCTCAGCACACCGAGGACAGGGGGATGTGTGGATCCAAAGGTGACATGGAAGTTACCCTTGTAAGGAAAAATCAAAGTGCAAAGCCTGAGTTTAATATAAAAAGTGGGGAGACACGTGTGAACTCAGAGATCAGTCCATCAAAAAGTGTTCCAGCCCCGACGTTGGACAGGGCCCTCAATCTTCCCGGTGGATGCGTGGCTGTGATCGCTCCTTGTGGTCCTGGGGCTGTCCCCTCTGTTTGCATCACGAGTCAGTCATGTTGGATCAGGAAGATGAGGTCACATTCACGGGAGCCAGAGATTAGGATTTGAGCATATCTTTGGAGAAGAGACAAATCAACCCATTAACAGAAGTGGAATGTTAAATCTCCCCACCAAATAAATTCAGTTCTTTCCAGCTCAAAATGCTGGTCTCTTTTAGATACCCTCTCTGTTGCCTTACGATGCTCCCTGATTCCCTGCTGCTTTTCCTCTTCTTTCCAGGAAGAGGGTGAGTGACCAAAGTGTTCTTGAGAACCAAAGCAAGGCCAGTCTGGTGTGAGGGACCTCTGACTGCAGACACACTCCAAGTCCTCCCTCGGTCCCCCCTGCCAGGAAACAGGTACCCACCTTGGTCTTTATATAGCGAAGCTACCATCTCCAGCACCACCATGGCTTCCCTCAACAGGCCCCACAGGCTGTGTCCTCCTTGTCTAAACCCGGAGGCCTCTTTCAGTATCTGGGGCTTTTTTTTTTTTTTTTTTAGGTTTTTGCCATAGCATGTGTGCGTTCACCAGAAAGAGTCAGAGAGAGAGAGGCAGTGAGAGGGAAAGTGAGAAATCACCCCTCATGAGGGATGCCCGCACTGCAATCTCTTCTCTGTTTTCCTCTAGGGATTTGGGGCATGCACGCACACGCGCTCAGCGTGAATTTCAAGCCACCAGGTCTGGAACTTCAACAGTGGTTTGCCATGTGGGAGTCTAGCACCTTAACCACCATTCCACCTGCTGGCCTCTCTCTGGGGTATTTTAGCCTCGCTTTGTGCCTTGCTCTGGGGGACAGAGCGTTTTTAAAAGTCCCCCTCCTATAGAACTTGGGTTATGAAGACTTGCAAGGATTTGTCCTTGAGCTTTTCTTCTGTTCTTTCTTCAGTTCATGGCCCTGCTGAACGCAGATTTCTCAGAGGACCACAGCCTGGTAAAACTCACCCTGGTGAATATTGCTTTGATATCCCCTAACTTTCTTCTACTTCATTTTGTCCTCATTCTCAAGGATGAGCCCAGGAGTCATAGGGCAGAACCTGCTGGCAACCATCTAAATCCTTCTTGTCCCTTTCGAGGTGGAAGAACAGTTTATGTATGATTGATACTTATCACACAAGGAACTAGGGTGAAATCTGGATAAAATCCTAAGTGGATACGATCCAATGGCTACCAAATACCATGGCCACAGACTAAAATCTCTGAGAAAAAGAGAAGTCTAGAGAGGGGAGCCCAACCTCAGTTTCCTTTTCCCCTGGGGACATTTGCCAATCACTAAGCTGCTGAGACACTTAGAGAGGAGATATCTGCAATAACTAAATCCAGTGAAGGTCTGGAATCCAAAACACACACAGAACTGTAACCTGTCAATTAATTTAAATCAGTCATTGCAATTAAAAAAGACTAGAGTAGTTATTTAAAACAAGATATCCAAATAGCTAATAAACATGTAAAAAGATGCTCAACCTCATTAGGTATCAAAAGCAATAAAAGCCAGGATTACCCAGAGACCTCACTACATACCCTTCACATGGCTAAAACTAAAAAGGACAATAGAAAACATTGGCAAGGGTGAATGTCAGTCTCCTAAACTGCTAGTGGGATGGTACATTTGTACAATTACTCTGGGAAACTTTTACAGCCACCACTGAAACTAAGCAGATGCATACTCCATAACCAGCAATTCTCCTCCCCCATCCATCCCAACAGAAATGTTGAACATGGGGGCCAGCAGGTGGCCTAGTGGTTAAGGGTGCTGGACTCCCACATGGCCAACTCTGGTTTGAGTCTCAGACCTGGCGGCTTGCTTTCTCACTTTCTCTCTCTTTCTCTGATCAAAATAAGTAAATAAATAAAGTACAATAAAAATAATCCTTAAAAATTATTTTATTAAACTTTGTTTATTTATCTGTTTATTTATTTATTCATTCATTCATTTATTCATTCATAATTTGACCAGAGAGGGATAGAGTGAGAGAAAGAGAGAGTAAAAGTGAGAAAGCAAGCCACTAGATCTGGGACTTGAACCACGGTCAGCCATGTGGGAGTCCAGCGCCCTCAACTACCATGCCATATGTCGCCCCAATAAAATAATTTTTTTAAAAAAGAAATGTTGAACTGTGCATTATAAAGTGTGCACTGTACATTATAAAGACATTTATAGCCTCATTATTTGGAACGACCCAATGTCCCTCGACTATAGAATGGGTGAGTAAATTATGGTACACCAACATCATGGAACAGTGACCATAAGTAATATAAGCATAGAAAATTGACCTCTTGTATGCATCTTACAAACATAATGCCGAGAGAAAGAGGAAAATATTAGGTGATTCCATTTCATGAAAGTTCAAACACAGGTGAGATTCATTGATGACGTAGGGGTCATAGTAGTAGTTGCCTTTGGCAAAAAGGAGGGTTCTTGTAACATTCTATTTCACAAACCGGAAAGTATTCAGTCATCAGGAAAGTCATGATGTGTTTTTTCTTTCTATTTTGGCAACACATGCACATGCACCTGGCATAATTTTCAATCCAGTGGATCCAGGACTTGAACTGTAGTCAGCAACATGGGAGTCCAACACTTTAACCACTTGCTGGCCCCAAACAATTCTTTTTAAATGTCAGATCTTTGGCATAGTATCTTGAGCAAAGTAATTGCTCAACAATAGTTGCCATTGATGGATACACAACATATTTTTCCTTCCTGGCTCCCCAAAGGGGAGGGAAAGGGTGATAGGAGCTACCTGAAGTTATGGTTTAGTCTTTTTAATGTATAGGCATTCAAGTTATTCAAGGTTTCATTACACATACCTATCACATTGACGCCACAGCATGGAAACAGGGCTGAGTGGCTTTACGCTGGGACAGGGTTGCATCCCTAGTCTGACCAGGTGCTAGGAGAAGAGCACCGCAGAGCCAGGCTGAGAGCAGACATGTGCCGAATTCCTCCCTAAAGAGAAAGGAGGTAAGGTTAAATCTTGGTTTTACTCAAGAGTATCGTAACTAGTAACGACAGATACAACCTATCAGTTGCCACAGCATTCCAGACACCACGTGTAAGGCCCAGAAAGATAATTTGGGACTTTTGAGGTGCAGTGCTGAAGGTGCTCTTAAAATTTTTCATAGACCATGATGTTTTCATGACTTTTATGACAATACAGACAATATCTAACTGTGCAAAGATCCAACACGCCATACCCATGTATCATATTTGAAGGAAGAGCAAAAGCAGAAAGACCACCACTGTGGTTTGAAAGCCCTCCAAATCTCATACTAAGCTTGAATTGCCATTGTGATGGGACTAAGAAGTGGGACTTTTAGGAAGTGATTAGGTCATGAGGGTTCTACCCTTGTGAATGAATGAAAGTCATTAAAGGGTAGTGGGTTATCATCCCAAGGGCAGGTTGTTATAAAGGGAGTCTAGCCCCTGGTGTTGTCTTGTTTTGACGAGTTTGCTTGCCTTTCCACCAGGGACTGATGTGGCAAGAAGATCCTCACCAGATACTAACACTAAGCCCTTGGACTTCTCAGCCTCCAGAACTGTGAGAAGGAAATCTCTCTTCTTTATATATTGCCAAGTGTATAGTATTCTAGAAAGAGAAAACAAAGACAGCCACTCTGAAAAATAATTATGGGGTATGTTATTATTCACAATAAAATAGTAATTTTCCTTTTAAAGAACAATATGGCTTCACCATCATTACCATAGGCTTATTGTTACACACCATTAGTTGAGTGACTACATGTTACTCCCAATAAATTTGCTGTTTATTTTCAGGTATTTATATTTGTATTTCGGCTCTGTGTTTTACTTGATTTGGCACACATCCCAGCACAACTTCTTTACAACTCCCAATTGTAGAGCAAAGGCTGTAGATTATAACCAGTTTAAAATACCAAGAATTTGGTGCTGGGAGAAACTTAAGAAAGACTACTGTTCAAACAATGTTTTCAGTTTATTTGTGCAGAAAAACCTGTCTTGGAAACCTAAGCTGTACATTTTTCTATTAAGACTCTATTGAAAGTCTGGAGCATGAATCTCAAACCTATGAACTGAAACATTCTTGTTCTGCACCATTTTTACAAAAACATTGCAAGACTGAGAGCCAGAAGCCATTGCATCTTCCAAATGCTTAAACAGCTCACACATGCTTTTACTTCTTCATTCATCAATGGCATGTGCACGCCCTGTACCAGGCATAACACGAGTCCCTGCAAATATAAGGATGCAGTTGCCACCTTAGAGAAAGCTCCAGTCTAGAGTGTGATAAATCTTAGCTTGATCCCACTGAGAGACTGGGCTGGGGAGCAGCTAAACCTAATATTCAGCATCCTATCATCAAGAGGAAAGTAAACAAGACCAGTACGGCAGTGTGGAGTCCTCCACCTCTTTCCCATTGGCCTGGTGGTTTTCAGATGGACATAGCCTTGGCTCGATGCCCAAGTTCCATGTCTTATTTGAAGCCCATGAGAAAGGACCTGGGGCATTCTAAAATCACTTCAGAGCCTCAATCAAAGAAAAAATTTTGAGTTGTAAAACTTAATATTGAGATCATTATCTGTTCTTGTGTTTTCTTACTTCATGCAACTTTTGTCTTCTTATTCCTCCAAAGACTATACAGCCATTAGTATTATTATTTTAATTGCCAGAGGGTGTGTGCACTTGCCAGGAGAAACAGAGAGAGGGAGAGGGAAAGGGAGAAAATGCCCCCCGCCCCCATGGGGATTATTATGCCTCAATTTCTTCTTCTCCATTTCTCTATCCTGTTGGGATTTTAGGCATGCCCACACACTTACCCAGCATGTTTTCTAAACCACCATGGCCAGGATTTAAACCATGTGGTTGGCCATGAGAGACCCCACTCCCTTAACCATTAAGCTATATGTATATGCATTGTTTAAATGAAAGAGACAAATATGAGTGTTGATCCAGTGGTTGTGGAAAGATGGTGACAGGGAATTTAAACACCAGGGGACCAAAATGAGCAGTAGAGAATTCCAGATAACAAAGGGACAAGCAAGCAGACAGCATTCAGCTTCTCTAGTCAAGTTCTCGCTATAGAAATTCAGGAGCATTTGGATATAGCACCATGTAAGGTCTCACCAAATAAATACATGGACCCTACTCTGTGAACACTATTCTACTTGCACAGTTGCCCATTAAGTGCATGGCTGTTTCTGTAACTCACCGTGAGGTAATACAGCATAAGTCACTAAGATCACGATCTATGGAGTCAAGTTGAGCTGTTGGAGACCTGCTTCCGTTTCTTTCCAGCTTCTTGACTTTGAGCAAGTCACTTTGCTTTCCTGTGGCCTCAGTTTCCTCATGGGTAAAGTGGGGATAGCACCTACTTCATGAGGTTATTGGGAAGAGTTACTAAGATAAAATATGTGGGACCAGCAGATGGCATAATGGTTATGTTGCCAGACTCCCATGTGGTCGACTACGGTTCAAGTCCCAGACCTAGCGACTTAAAACTTACACGGGGTACATGTGTGTGCGTGCCCCAAATCCTGAGAAGATAATGGAAGAGAAGGGATTGTGGCATGGCCATTCTCCCTGGGGAGTGATTTCTCATTTCTGTCTCTCTGTCTTTCTGGTAAGCACATCATGTGCCCTATAGTGAAAATCTCTCTCTCTCAAAAAAAAAAAAAAGATAAAACATGTAAGGTGTTTGGTATAGACTTTTGCCCTGTGACAAATATGCATTTTTAAAGTGAACATCATTACTGTTTAAGTATTAAAATTTTTTAAAATTTCCAAAACTGTAAGTAGGCTTTACTATATATTACTATATATTTACTATATATAATAATATGGAATTTTGATAAGTCTTAAGGGGTTTGAGGGAAGCAGTTTTTCAATATAAAAATAAACTGGCCTATACAGATTTTTTTTTAGTTTAATGTATTTTAATAGCAAACTTACAGGAACTGCACAGAAGACAGACAACATTAAAAACATGTACTTGCATGTAGGACAACTCAATTAGAAAAGTATAGTGAATGGATGGAGTCTACTGTATGATAAAAATGCAACAAACACCATTTAGTTGCCATTGATAAGAAATGTACTTGTTTTACAAAAATCCAAATGCTGGCGTTGTCCAGAAAAATTTAACAGGTTTATTTATTTATTTATTTATTTATTTGAGAGGCTTTTGCTATAGGGTGTGTGCACTCGCCAGAAAGACAGAGAGACAGAAAGCGAGAAATCACTCCCCAGGGGGGGATGGCCACACCGTAATCCCTTCTTCTCCGTTCTCCTCTCAGGATCTTGGACACACATGCACACGCGCCTGGCATGAGTTTAAGCCACCGGGTCCGGGACTCAAACTGCAGTCAACTACATGGGAGTTCAGCAACACAGTCATTACGCTAACTGCTGATCCCTAACAGGTTTATTTATAATCGTTATAAAGTTGAACTGCTGAAACATGGTCACTGACACATTTTGACTTGCATTAATGCTTTACATCCCTGCATTTATATTAAAAATCTACACACAAATGAAAATGGAAAAACTGCCAATACCCAATTTCTGTCCCCTATTTTCCACTCACAATCATATACTTAGGTACATTTTTAATGCACAGTGCTATGCCCTGGAGTTCTTGCATTTCTCTTGGACAGTGGGAAGCGTTCACAAAAATCAAATGCGACTGTGCCCTAAATACCAACACAGCTCCCCCACACACGTTATATTTTCTCCAGCAGCCTACCTAGTCTCCTTGTGAAAAGCTCCCATAATTATACGAAACAAGCCACTTAGCATGCAGTAAGAATGCACCAGAAAAGAGCAGTCAGGATTTCCATTTCACAGGAAACTTCTGGAAGGCCTGAGATCAGAAACAGGAAATAGGCATCAGATTGAGGCCTAGGGCACTCTGGATAGGCTCCCGCGTTGCTTGTGCCGTGTCTCCCCAATCGAGGGAGGCTGCAGCTTGTTCTAGTCGTGGTATTTCTTCTCACACACGGCAGTTTGTCTTATGAGTTATTAGCTCATATTTCCGCCAGCCTTCTGGGAAAAAAGTTCCAGCAGCCCCTGAGACAGGAGCCTTTCCCTCTGTCTGCTCAGGGCTCACTGTGGTTTATCTGACCATTAAAGTCACACTTGCAAATTCTTTGGGTGTTACTCTATGCAACCAATTAAGTAAAAAACCAGTTTGCTTGTGAGTTGTTTTAACTTAGTAATGATGACCTATGAGGTTCTTGAGATGAGTAAATGCACGAGTCAGACCAGACAGGTTCTTTAAAACAGAAGGAACGGTGTAGAAAGCCCGTCTTCCGATTGCAGTGTGGGAAAGCAAGCCTTCCTGAACTTTTCATGGTCCCAGCATACATAATGAAGGCAGAGCTTGTTGAGTTCTTGTATGGGGGGGGGATATACATTGGTTTTATGGAGAGTCATTTGCAAACTTTCATTTAAAAACCTATTCAAATTGTGAACAACAGTTTAGCAAAGCAATCTTGTGTTAAAATTGATCATAAAAATACTGGGTTGTTGTAAAAGTCACGATGTATTTTTTCTGTGCAAAAAGGCCTCATGACTTTCCCCACAACCCAGTAAATCCAGATGCTTATCTCCCTTCAAGTCCAAGGGAGATAAGTGTAAGTGGAGGCTCATAAATACAGGAACTCTCTCAGTTTAAAATATGTAAGCGATATTAACAGAGAAAGGAGAATATTGAAACTATAATAACACTTACATGCATTTTGTCACTAAAAACACTCCAATATGGGACCAGTAGGAGGCATGGTAGTTAAGTCACTGGACTTCCACATGGCTGACCACAGTTTGAGTCCTGGACTTGGCAGCTTGCTTTCTCACTCCCCCCACCCCACCTCTCTCTGTGAGTGAACACTCCCTATAGCAAATTAAAATAATAATAAATAAGTAATTCTAAAAAAAAACCCTTTCCAATATAATTAGGTAAAAATTAGCTTAAA